TCAATGTGATCTTCAGACTTGGTCAAAATGAATCAAAGCTGAATGGTAATTGTCAGGTATATTTACCCGGCCTTCCCACCAAAGTTGCATGTGACACACAGTCTTTTTAACATTGGGAGTGCTATATGCATACTTACATATATAGGCCAAAGACAAAAATTGAGAAAACAATATATAAATTCTTAACATATCAAGAACAATTTTAGGGGGAAAAAAAGTATATCAAAGTGGAAAAAAAATTTTTTGTGACACATTTCAGCCATTAAGGACTTCATACAGACTAAAGTGATATTTACATTGATGCAATTACACATGAGCATGAAGGAGAGGAGATATTGTGAATTTTAAATTTAAATGTTTTTGTTTTTGTTTTTTTAATATATGTTTCGGATATATGACCTTTGGCGGAGTGGGGGGGCATATGCAACAAAAACATTGAAAATTGCTTTTATCACTGCAAATTATTCATCATATCATATCTAATTATTTTACAACAAATTAGATCCGATTACACAATATTTCAAGCTCAATTCAGGTTTATAGTTTGTAACCATGCAATGAGATGAGGTAACATAAACTGTCAATTTGCCTGTGGAATATCATTACATTATTTTTACATAATTAGAGTGGGACCATTAAGGTTTTTTGTCAAAAGCATTTTATTTTTGGTTGTATATTAATTTAAAATATTCCTTTTTATAGGCTTTATTTTTGAAATGGAATAAGTTCATTCTAAATTTCAGAATTTTGCTATTGCCCATCAAAATGCCTGGATAAAAGCGATCTAAAAACAACAATGAAAAAGAGAGTTAACAAAGCGTAAATGAAATAGCTCCAGTTTGTTCAACTTAGGAAACTTAGCATTGCAGCCAAAGTATTCTAAAATGCTGCCAATAACAAAAGAGAAAATGGAAAATACCTAACAACTAATCGAATATAGCATCAAAATTTATATTATTTTTATTTATTTGTTATGTAACTAAATATATAATTGTCAACAATGTTTCCTTAAAACTTGATATTTCCTGTAATAAATTCTGAATATTATTATTGTTATTATTTTACTTCCTACATTTCCATTTCCTTATGGCTAACTATGAAAAGAAATCTTGATCAAATCATATTGTGTACTGCTGCAAAATTATCAAGTGTTGAATAAGCCCCTCCTCTCTCGAATGCGTCGTATAGTCTAGCTGATTTCATTTAGATTCTTTTTTCTTTTTGTTCTGGTTTCCATCACTTTCGTTATTAAATATCCCACACTGTGATAATAGACAATTTGCCAAGAATGGTGTAAGAACCTTGATGTAAATTTAATGTGGATGATCTAGCGATTAAAGCACTTTCTATACATTTTTGTCTTAGTAAATAATTTTCTCTTTAAATTAGAGTAGCATTTTTTAAATTAAAATTGGGATTATATTCAGTGTGAAACAAGAGGCTCATAAAATATTTAAAAATAGAAAAATGGTCCTTCCTGACAAACCAAACAAATCCTAATGTATTATTCTAACCACCACAAAAAAATCTTTCACGCCATTGTAGAGGTAGAGTTAATGTATGGTGCCACTGCCTCAACATTAACTAAAACTCTAGAGTCTAAGCTCGATGGAACCTACACTGAGATGCTGAGAGCTATACCTAACATCTCTTAGAGACAACAGCCAACTAAATCACAGCTCTATGGAGACATCCCTGATGTTTCTACAATCTTATGCAAAATGTGCTTTGCAGGACATTGCTGGTGAGCAAAACAAGAACTAGCAAGTGATCTACCGCTCTGGACACCTAGCTATGGCACAAGATGTGTTGGCTTCCCAGCAAGCATCTACATTGACTAACTATATTATGACACAGAATGCCACCCTAACGATCTTCCGACCTTGATGTAAGACTGTGATGGTCAGCTTGATAGACTCATCAATATCTGCAGTAGTAACAATTTGATTAACATGAGTATTTAGTTTGGAATCCTATCTTTGCTCAGCACCGCCTCGTATATATAGAAAAATGATTATATATTAGTTTTCATACTCTACAGTTTTAGGTATTGAGGAATACATCTCCCTCCCCACTTTGACATATAAGGACTTCTTATCTATCAGTCAGAATCTTACACCTTTGTCAGTCAGACCATTCATTCATACAATGAACATTGCTGCCACATTTGGTTTGATGCTATGTATTTAGAGATGCTTGATAAAATCCAAAGAAAAAACCTGCAATGTTATTGGTCCTGATCTGGCATCTCAACCTCAGTCACTTTCCCATTACCATAATTTAACTGATGAGCTTTTTTCTCTTTGGTACCTCGACTTTACAAACTTAAGCGCAATACTATATTGGCAGATAGGTTTCATCATTTTACAGTTGAAACTGATAGGCGTATCTGCAAGTTCTATGCAAACACTTTCTTCTCTCACACTTCTTGTTTGGGGAAAACTCTTCTGGCTTGTTTTCTAGTCAACTTTGATCTTCAAAAATTAAATGCAATATCAATCGTTATCTTCTTTCTTCATAATTCCTGTTCTTTTATTGTTCTCTCTTCTTACTAATATCTTCTTTTTCTCATATTCTCTGACACTCAGTAACCCCCCCCCTGCATCTTAGTGGCTTTATTGCCTTGCTTGGGGTGAAATGATTAAAGAAAAGATCAACTATGTATATTTTATATGGTACTATATAAAATATAAATTAACCATGATTTTATTTTTGCTTTTACTAAAGTTCACCTAATACAAGTTTTGAGTCACCCGTGGTAGAGGGTTACTGAATTAGGTGTGTGATAAGGATGTTTAAGTGGGTGATACCAATTAAAGATTATGAGAATCCACATAATGATTGACCCTTAATTAAATTGCTAAGATTGATGTTTCATGTCACTACCCAATAGACTTTCAAAGCATGTGGCCTCATTAAGAATTCAATTGTCCATCATGATTGGAGAAGACATGACATGTACCCTGAAACAATCATCAAAATACAAGATGTGGGATTAGTAAATACTAAATACTTCGAATACCTTGGTGTATGGATCATTTAACAAATTTAATATAGGAGATAAGGAAATAGGACAGAAAATATGCTGTGCTAAATTCGGTAGTTTTGCCCAACATCGACCTGAAAACTTGAGTCATGTAGCCTCATCAGATCGAGACTTTCATATGGATACCACGCATGGCGATAAACACATTCAGAAATATCTAAACTATCAGCTCTCTACAACCGATTCCTAAGATCAATGGTGAAAAAAGGCCTTGAGTGAGTAAAGCCTGAGGCTCATGGCAAAGGTCATTCTGCTTTGAACATTGTTGACTGGCACTAAAGAATTACAAACAAAGAACTGTACCAAAAGGACTACCAGCAGCAGCAACAACTAAAATGGATTGCAAAGAGAAAATGATATAGTCAAGATAACTTCAGATAAAAGGTTAAGAAGGAAACCCCCAATCAATACTGGAAAGAGCGATAAAAGCTACTGGACTTGAGAAGAAAATAATGAAGATGTTGACATTCCACACTACTTCAAACAAAAGGTTAGGAAGGAAACTCCCATCAATACTGGAAAGAGTGATAACAGCTACTGGGCTTGAGAAGAGAAAATAATGACATAATCAAAATGTTGACATTCCACACTACTTCAAATAAAAGGTTAGGAAGGAAACTTCCCATCAAGACAGAAAAGAGTGATAACAGCTACTGGACTTGAGAAGAGAAAATAATGACATAATCAAGATGTTGACATTCCACACTACTTCAAATAAAAGGATAGGAAGGAAACTTCCCATCAATACTGGAAAGAGTGATAACAGCTACTGGGCTTGAGAAACCTATTTTCCTGAAGAACTGTTTTAAAAGAAAGATTTTATAAATTTTAACTGAAAACAGTACTGGCTACTCAGTCAATGAATACCAAATGTTTTTTTGTAGGGAAACAACCAATATTGCCATTACCAATGTTTGAACAGTAATGGTGAAATGATATTTACTTAGTTTTTGAGATACTGAAAGTTACAAGCCACTTATTTCCCCATTGAACTGTTAGAGTTCAATTTGAGGAGAACAGTAAGGACATTAAAGGAAAAACTTTTATAGGTGAGTTTCAAATACCACAAGATACCTACAGAGGGTTAATAATTTTATCACAGGATGTTATTAGGACTGCTGCATGTCTCAAACTGGAGAGAGAATTCAGTGCTTATAATTCAGTCTCAATACATTTGTTAATTTCTGACATCCACAATTGTCCGAGGCTTTGTGTTAAAAAAAGATAAAATCTTGAATAATTCCATTCAGAAATGATCTTATTAATTAATTTTCAGACTCAGAACAACATTTCTATTCGTTGATTCATTATTTATGACTTATCAACCCTTTGCAGGTTATTCAAAATATTTTTAGATTGTAAGAATTTGGGGGGGGGGTAATGATTTAGTGATACATATCTTACTAATTAATCCATAGCTTGGTGAGAAGAGGTGGATTCATAATTTTCCCAATGGTATTTGGATATAAGTGAATATAAGGAACCTGACTAGAATTGGAACTGGGCTGTTCAATTAACAATTCTGAGCCATTATCCATTATACCACTCATTCAAAGATTGCAGCAACTGGTATTCCCATATAGGACATAGTACCATAACCTATTCGTATATCCTGAAAAGGGGAAGATATTCCAGTATGTGTGATATGCTAAGAGCCATTCACCATAAAACGCATACTTACAAATTACAGCAATTTTAATTCAATCCACTTAAAATTCTACCAAACAACAAACTTAAAAGAACTTTTTAAAATATTGATCCACTTTACATATTTCAGTTCCTTGGAGAAATTAAACTAATTTAAAAAATTTAATGAAAAATAATAACAAACAATCGTTTTACTGTTTAAAATAACATTTTTGACTGTTTAAATACAAGACTTCATATTAAAAAATTAAATTTTGGCATGAAATGACCTAATGGGTTGATATACCGTAAAACAAACCAAACCAAAACCTGGTATTCCCAAGTGGTCACCAATCTAGATACTGACCAAGCTCAACATTGCTTAACTTCAGTGATCATACAAGAACCAGTGATTCAATGTGATATGGCTATAAGCCATGGTCACTCTTACAGATCTTTTCACATTAATACAGGGTGTGTCTCCCAGAGTGGTGCTATCCTTGGACCTATGTTTTTATCTTCATCAACAACCTTCCCAAGATCATCTGTTCCCTAATCAGTATTTGGCTTATGGCAACATCACCTTGAAACACCAATCTTCAGGAATATATATATATATATATATATATATATATAGTAAATTTTCTTTTCATTTTTTGTTTGGAAGTAAAGTCTGATGATCCGCAGTCCTTTTAAAAGGGCTGTGGTGAAATAATTTATTACATGGAACCTTAAAGTGGTCTGTTTTTTATTTAAATTATTTGCTCTGGATTTACATTGAGCTCTCTGGATTTTATCCTCCTTAGGTTTACCCATACGGATTACCTAGTTTTTCATAAATATATATATATATATATATATATATATATATATATATATATATATATATATATATATATATATATATATATATTTTTTTAATGTTTAGGGTCAAAATTAAATTTCACATTTTAACAACCAAATATGTTAGCTCTATTCTGATATAAAAATAACTTTTTAATAAGTACCACAAATATAATATATAAATAATTATATATATATATATATATATATATATATATATATATATATATATATATATATACATATATTTTCATACACACACATATATATATATATATATATATTTAAATATAATAGACAACAAATGTTTATTATGTTTGATCATGAGCTGTTTTATGCTTTGCATAGTGGCTTTAATTTCAGGAGAAAATAAAGACAAAAACTGTAACATTTGGATATTATTTTGTTATACTGTTCCTCGATCTAAGCTTTCGGCTCATATGGTCCATCATCAGAGTGGTTATATGGACATTACAACAGAAATTTTAACCATCAAAGATGATATTCTGTTATGTTTACATAGATGTTTGTATATGATGATAACAATCACAAAATAGAAGACGCAGGTTGTAAATTTGTAATGCAGTTCTACGACAGGTCGAGGAAAAGCATAATAAACAAATAACCAAATGTTGACAGTTTTTGTCTTTATTTTCTCCTGAGACTAAAGCCACTATACGAAGCTTAAAATGGCTCATCAAACATAAGACATTCATTATGTTAGATTTAACAATATATGCTTGAATAACACTAGTTGACATTTTTTTTTTTTTTTCAACCCAAATATTGTTGGGCAATGGGCACATGTTTCTGGGCTATTTTTTTTCACACTGAATCTGAAAATCAAGTCCATTTTGCCCCACATCACATTTTCTAAGTACAGACAATTTCTCTTTTGCTTAAAATAGGCCAAAATGCCTCATTCACAGGGATATGCCATGGCTTAAATATGCGTGTGACCTAGTTCAAACATTTCATGTTAAAATGATTTCTCTTTCAAGAAAAAGTATCTAAATGAATTCTAAGCTATTTCAGTTCAGATAAGCTGACCTGAAAATGCTTGATTTTATAAGAGATATCTCACTGGAAAATGTTCTTGTGCCCTCAATGTTCTTAGCTTGTTAAAACATTGTGATTTCTGTTTCTTCTCTACTTTTCATAGAAGCTCTTTAGAAGTCATTCAAGAAGAGTGATTTTAGTTTTTATTAGTAGTTTTCACTTTAAGCCTGAAACCATCATAAGATTTTATCATATCACTTGAATTTACGGAAATCTGGTATTGTCATGCAGTTTCTGTATAACATGCTTAGGATCATTGATAAATGAGGGTTAAGTGAGTGTATTTGAGACTCGCCAGATTAGAATTTTCTTTATCAGTACTTAAAATAGCCGCCAAGCACCAGATAGACATAGCCAACTAGGCAATTTGCAGATGGAATGTTAACAAGATGGCTGATTTCTGCTGGAGCGTCAAAAGAGATCCACCTTTTCAAAAACACTGTAAAGTTTCCAAGAAGAGAAGATTTATAGCTTTGGATGGACAAAAATGAATGTATTTTTCATTCCTTTCTATCTTCTTTCTTTTGATTCAAAAATTGATGACACATGTTTGTGTGAGATTTTTCAATTTTTTTTTTCCTAAACTGAAAATGCATTCTTTAAGTTATTGGGATACTTTTTCTTTTATGATAAATTATTCTAACCTGAAAACATTTAAGGTTAATTCTACTTGGCCCTGACATATCACTGTTAAATTGGTATTTTGGCCTATTTTAAGAAAAATAGAAATTATCTGTACTGAGAAAAACGTGATATGATGGGAAAAATGAACTTGATTTTCAGATTCAACATGAAAAAATAACCCAAAAACATGTGCCCATTGCACAACAATATTTGGGGAAAAAAAAAAAATGTCAACCAGTACAATATATATATATATATATATATATATATATATATATATATATATATATATATATGCACATACACACATTAAAGTTCAAAAGTTTGAATTGGGCCAAAAAATAGTTGTTTGTATTTTCAAATAAGAGAAAATTATTAAACATGCTTAAAAAAAATGAGACATGATTTTTTTATTAGAAATGTTATTATGACATAAAGAAAAAAATATATTTTATGATTAAATTTTTGCTCTCGAAGAAAAATCTTCTCTTTTAGCTTTGATTACTCAATTTGATGTTTTTTTGGCATTCAAAAAAACAAAAAAGTTTCTCAAAGTATAAGTTTAATAATTGATTCCATTTTTTTTTTCCAATGACTAAGAGCTCTTTTTCATTTTTTTTCACTCCCATGCTAATTCTAGAGGTGGCTTCAAACTTTTGAACTGTTTATTTACTTACTATGAGTAATTTTCCTTCTGTTATAAAGTAATATAGTCTATTAAAACTAAACAATGAAAATATTTTAAAATTTTAAAGTTGTAATTCTGAAATTGTAATTAAAATTGTAGTTAAATTGAATGAATTCTAACCTAAATTTCTTTTAAATAATACTACACACGGAGAAAAAAAGAATCCAAATAAAAAAAAAACACCTATAGTAAAATAAAATTAATATGAAATGCCATAAGATGTAAGCTTTTGAATGACCCATGTCCTTAGTACTTACATGAAACATTATAATTTTTAGGTTTATATATAAAATAAAAGTTTACTAAATCAGTGAAATTAAGTAACCATTTTTTTCCTTAGTCATCATAAATTTAAAAAAAAAAAAAAAAATTTAACCTCATACTTTAAACTTGATGTTAAAATAATCCTACATAATATAATGGATTCTAATACATTTAACTGTTCTTAAAAAGAATTTAGTAAAATAAAATTAAAAAGGAGAATATTTCAAATCGTAGTTAAATAAAAAGTATCAAAAAAAAAAAAAAAAAAAAAACTGAAAATCTTTAAATTTAAAAATGACGTTAAAATTTTTTTTATCGTTAACAATTAAAAAAAAACAATCAGACGACATCCATTCAACTGATGTCAGGTTTCATTGTAAAATACATCCCTACCCCTTACCAAATTGTAGCTAATAACTGATACAATGATACTGACATAAGGAAAATCTAGACATCCCTTGTTCAATTTAAGTAGAATATTCTGTAACCATGGAAACGTGATTTTAGCTGTGTCTTTTAAAACCCGGTAATTTTAAAAGTTACTCCAAAATTCGCTTGAAGATGAAATGGAACTAATGCTTTTAATTTAATTGCAAAATTAAATTTTTTTTAGCTTCTATTTTTGAAACATGGTTGGAACTGTGTAGCGAAAAAAACCATATTTTAAATCAATTAATTTATAATATATATATATATATATATATATATATATATATATATATATAATTTATATATATTTTGAAAACCATACCACCGGTTGACCCAAACTTTGTGAGTGAAATTGGGTAGACAGAACACTTTGGAGGCTGTCAATAACTGTGCTAGCACAAAGTCACAAGACATCGTGACTGAGGATTTGAGTGTGCTGACTTTGTTCAGATTGTTGATCATGCTATATAACAAGCTCTCTCCCAGAAACTGTAACTAAGGTTTTCTCAGTGTAGTTGCAGTATAAACTACATGTTGACTCAATGTGTGTTGAACAAACATCTGCAATAGGGATTGGCTAGCTGCCCTAATAGACTGGTATCCTCGAATACGATTGGCCAGCTATTATTGTTATATATAGAATTAATTCAAATATAAAATTTGTCACTTAAATGATTAATGTTATATTCAGCACCTCATATATATATATATATATATAATACAAGGAAAAGGACTGTCACATGAATATTACCTTCAGAATCTTGACTCCAGAGTTTCATAGATGAACCTGCCAGAAATCTCATCAAAGGTATCAGCAATTGACTACTTATATTTCTCAGTTTTTCTTTTTTATATGCACTTTTCATTGGTGCAAGATTTTTTCATAGTGTATGTGTGCATTTGAGCAGGTGCACTAAGTAGAAATATAAAATTCATCAGCTGACTGATTGATGTTAGTTCTATTAGTTTTGATATAAAAAGGGCATTATCATTTAAAATATTTTAATATAAAAAGAGCATTATCATTCAAAATGTTTTAATATAAAAACAGAATCATTCAAAATATTTTGATACTAAATGGGCATTATCATTCAAAAATCTTAACTTCTTAATAAAGAAAATGCTTTTTACTTCTAAAAAAAATTACTTGACAAAATTTTACTGTTGTTTTTTTAAAAAAAATTACATTTGATTAAAAAATGGCCTCTGCATGAACTTCTTTGCAGGGACCATTCATTATCCATTGTTTTTTCATTTCTTTCTTTTGAAAGGTGTGCTTGCTATGTTAAGTACTGAATGTAACTCTCCAGGAAAAGTACACAAAAGTCCTTGTCTTATGACATTTCCTTCTCTTGAGTTGGTTTACCACAACAATCTACAGTTGGCAATTAATTGTAATTTCTTTTTGTTTGTTTGTTTTTTTTCATTTTAAATACATTTTTTTTTTTTTATTTATATATTTTGAAGAAAAGGTCAGGCAAAAAATATTGCTTATTTGTGTCTTTCCTTCACAAATAATGTTTG